TGCATTAAAAGTTGATAGGCCTATATATAAAGGACATACCATGTGCCCATTGATGAAGATATAAAGAAAAGATGGAGGTGGATAGGGCATACGCTCCGAAAACCCCTAGATAGCGCCACCAGACAATGCATAACATGGAACCCAAAGGGACAAAGAAAGAGAGAAGGCCTAAGAATACACGGAGACGTGAGCTAGAGGCAGACAAGCATAATATAGGAAACACCTGGAAGCAATAGGAAAGAAAAGCACAGGACCGTGATGAGTGGAAAATGCTTGTAGACGGCCTATGCCCCAGACTGGGTAAAAAGGCATAAGAAGAAGAAGAGCCATGGCGTGGATTTCTGAGGCCCCGTGCCACTCCTTGGTTTTGTGCCGTCTGCATTCAAAGTTGATAGGCCTACCATCAGGGATTTGGAGCCGTCTGCATTCAAAGTTGAGGTCAAATCTAACTATAGTAATATTTCATTGTATCTACTTTTTTCAATAAAAGTTTTGCGGTCGTGATTCAGAAATCAAATATTGAACCATGCGTAAATTTCTTTCATCTGCGCACCTATTTTCCCGCATTGTCTTTAGATTTTTGGCAGCTTCACAGAGATTACCCGGAGTATATACCTCGTCATCTGATGATGATGCTATTTGGAGATGCAAGTTTGAGAACTCCTCTGCCTTTAGATCGCTTTTGAGATGAACCCTCGTGCTGACTCACAGGGATCGGAATTGAAGTTTAGGCCTGAAGTCACCCAACAGTGGCATGGTTATCCCACCCACAAGGCATTTGCATGCTTCTGATGCCCCGACGATTCTGTCCAACGCTTCCATTCCTTTGTCGTGTGTGAGCCATGGTGCACTCATCCCAGACAGTCACCTTGCACTCTTGAAGTACCTGCGCTGTATTACACTGTTCCGAAACAGTGCACAAAGTAGTTCACGTTAAGAGGCAGTCAGAGGGCTGAGTGAACTGTCTCTTCACCGTCCCGTTATCGCGATTTTCATTCTATTTCTGATGCTATGAAGCAACAGATTAGTAATCTGCGCACCGTTCAATGAAAAGAAATTACCGTTAAATCTTTTTTTTGTTCCACCAAAAATCTCTTGATAGAAAGCCCATAGCCGGTTCCTGGTGTCCTTTAAGTAATAAGAAGATATTTATTCTTAGGACTTTGAATGTATCGATGTAACAACTTTTAAGTTGATAAAATGTTTAAATAGTGCTGAACTGAAGCATTTATAGTTTCGCCATTGCAACCCACTTCCCTGCTCGGCCCAAGGTTAAAAAAAACCAAAAAAAAACGTTTATATTAACTTCGCTCTTGTTCGTAGGTGGCTGGGTGGCGGAATTCGAACGGCTAATTGATCCACTTCTCGTCAACCTGTCGAGCTGAAACCTGGTACACAGACTCGTTGCCGATGACAACACATTCTTTCAAATGTTCAGCCCTTAACACCACCCCTGAAATGAAGTTCTCAACAACTGCGCTAAATGAAAATATTTTTTTAAAATAAAAAAATATGTAAATTGCGTTTGGTGCGTAATATTTTCTTTTCTAAAATTTTGGGTGAAATAAATCTGGAGTGTAAAAGTGGGTGTGAATTAGAATATTAATACAGTTCAGGGGCGTGTGTGCGTGTGGGGGGAGCACTTATTGGGATTCTTAAAAGTGCATCACTTGTAGGTGTTTTGTCAGATTTTTAGCCCCACCCCCATTGCTCGCTATCACATTTTATCCTGGATTTATTCGGAAAACTTTGTTTTAAAGGGTTCTTTATTTCTAACTCATCATTGATCTAGAGACCATGACGATGTCAAGAATTATGTGGTCACCAATTCCACTGAGCTGTTACTCATCTTTTACTACCTAAAAAATGTGCCCCCTTACTCCTCCTTAAACTGGTCTCACATCGGTGTGAATTAATTTACATATCTAAATCTAATACTTTATTAATTAGGCTATATTTGATTTAGCATCAACACCTTTAAAAATGTCAAATACCAACGATGAGAAATAAAGTAATAACAATTCTAATGTTGATTTGTCAATGATTAACTCATAACATGGATCTTGTCAAATTCAACAACATTGTCAAACGTTATTGAAATATTAAAATATATACATTTTATGTAAAGACTTTTGAAAGATGGAAGTGTCTACACCAGTTGGTGATTTTCAACATTAGATAGGCGATTTAAGAACTTAGTAATTAAACGTTCTTTTTTCGATGCACACAAATTCGCAATATCAATTAATTATAATGCTGGAGCCCGCCAAACCTTGGCGACAGCAACGCGGGGACTTACCATCTACTAAAAGTTACTTGACAAAAACGTGAACTCAAGTTACGCAAATTTTAGAATGGAAATTTTGCTACACCCCCCCCAGCCCTTTTTTTTTCATGATACGTCACTGCACACTTTTTATTTCACGCCCATTAACTATATTAATATTCTCATGTCCCAACCACTTTTTAACCGAATATTTTTTACACAATACTTAAATTGAGACGATTTCATTTCCGAAAAGAAAATATTACGCACCAAACGAATTGCGTTATTAATATATATATATATATATATATATATATATATATATATATATATATATATATATATATATATATATATATATATAT